TATTCCATGTCGATAAACTGCCCCAGAATAGGGCTTTTATGGGGTTTTAAGAGGTACCCCAAAAACTGCCGGCGCATAGAAAACCTCAACCTCTCGGCCTGCGTTTGGGAGGTGGCCCAATTTCCCAGGCTCGACGTTTCCGACTCCAAGACGAAGGTTATTTCAACACCGACCGGTGAAGAAAGTGCCCTGTTCGAAGCCTGATGAAGTAAACATTGGATAATGAATTGCAATACTTTACAGAACTTTATAGCGAATCGCAACAAACACAGCAATTGACAATAAATCGCGTGCATAGCATCATTATGTCAAGTACATACTGCGCATACGCTATACAGTTACATAGGTTCAATACATATGCTATACATCAATGCATCGCATATATCTAATTACAGAGTAATTACATATACTTGTGACATACACTTGATTGCATGCATTGCATACATACATCACACGCATTGCATACCGCATACGTGACATACCTTACATGCACAACATACAGACATTACAAATATGATTTTGATAGCACTACAAAATAAATGGATAATATGGCAGAACATACTGAACACACACACACTTGCTCAGACTTATCTTATCGAATTTTGATGTGGAATGCATCTGTCGTGCAAAAACATTTCAGTTACACCTGACAGGAGGGTTTGGTGTGGAGTGAAAGGAAAATTCCTTCGTCGCCACCTTGAAGAATAGAATAAAATCAATAGAAGCCAGGAAGAATCCCACAATATAAGCAGCAAAATGGAATGGACAAGAAGTCCACCGCAGTCTCAGATTGCGCCAACTGTGCAGAAAAAATGAGAAGTCACCTTCATCCGTTTATGTGCTTAATTCAAATTCTGAAGTGATTCTCGTTGAAAAAACGCATGGTGGTTCTTGGGTTAGCCACACCCCATCACGATTCAAAAATTGCAGGTACATTTGCACAGCCACTTGGATGGGTTTTCGTTGGCCCATGCCATCCAAGTGCCCATGGGCCCCCTGCAACAAACAAAGTACAAGTTTTACATCTATTGAGATGTTTGACACACACACAAAACAAACATAATAGACATAACGTGACATAACATAAGCAACCCGGTGGGTGGGAAACCGCGCTAGCGGTTGAGCACGTTTTGAAAAAAAAGGTCTGGCACTGTGGCGCCGTGCGCATTTTATAAGTAATGTTTCTATGCATTTTCCCGGGGAAAATCGATTTCATGGTATTTACAGGGTTTTGTGGCTTTGGGATGATGGTCGTTTTTCACTTCCGCACATTTCACTTGAGATTGCAAGTAACATGAACGTTATTGCCCCACCCCACCCAAACCCCAATCCATGACGTAACCTTAGCTTAACATCACTTGAGATTGCAAGTAACATCAACGTTATTGCCCCACCCCACCCCACCCAAATCCCAAACCATGACGTAACCCTAGCGTAGCATTACTTGAGATTGCAAGTAACATCAACGTTATTGCCCCACCCCACCAAAACCCCAAGCCATGACGTAACCTTAGCGTAACATCACTTGAGATTGCAAGTAACATCAACGTTATTGCCCCACCACACCCCACCCAAATCCCCAACCATGACGTAACCTTAGCGTAGCATCACTTGAGATTGCAAGTAACATGAACGTTATTGCCCCACCACACCCCACCCAAATCCCAAACCATGACGTAACCTTAGCGTAGCATTACTTGAGATTGCAAGTACATAGCATCAACGTTATTGCCCCACCACACCCCACCCAAATCCCAAACCATGACATAACCTTAGCGTAGCATCACTTGAGATTGCAAGTAACATCAACGTTATTGCCCCACCCCACCCCACCCATGAAATTGCCCCACCACACCCCACCCAAAGCCATGACGTAACCTTAGCGTAGCATTACTTGAGATTGCAAGTAACATCAGGGTTATTGCCCCACCACACCCCACCCAAACTCCAAGCCATGACGTAACCTTAGCGTAACATCACTTGAGATTGCAAGTAACATGAACGTTATTGCCCCACCACACCCCACCCAAACTCAAAGCCATGACGTAACCTTAGCGTAACATCACTTGAGATTGCAAGTAACATGAACGTTATTGCCCCACCCCACCGAAACCCCAAACCATGATGTAACCTTAGCGTAGCATCACTTGAGATTGCAAGTAACATGAACGTTATTGCCCCACCCCACCAAAACCCCAAGCCATGACGTAACCTTAGCGTAACATCACTTGAGATTGCAAGTAACATGAACGTTATTGCCCCAAGCCATGACGTAACCTTAGCGTAACATCACTTGAGATTGCAAGTAACATGAACGTTATTGCCCCACCCCACCCAAACCCCAAGCCATGACGTAACCCTAGCGTAGCATTACTTGAGATTGCAAGTAACATGAACGTTATTGCCCCACCCCACCCAAACCCCAAGCCATGACGTAACCTTAGCGTAACATCACTTGAGATTGCAAGTAACATCAACGTTATTGCCCGACCCCACCGAAACCCCAAACCATGACGTAACCTTAGCGTAACATCACTTGAGATCGTCCCACCCCACCCCACCCAAATCCCAAACCATGACGTAACCCTAGCGTAGCATTACTTGAGATTGCAAGTAACATCAACGTTATTGCCCCACCCCACCAAAACCCCAAGCCATGACGTAACCTTAGCGTAACATCACTTGAGATTGCAAGTAACATCAACGTTATTGCCCCACCACACCCCACCCAAATCCCCAACCATGACGTAACCTTAGCGTAGCATCACTTGAGATTGCAAGTAACATGAACGTTATTGCCCCACCACACCCCACCCAAATCCCAAACCATGACGTAACCTTAGCGTAGCATTACTTGAGATTGCAAGTACATAGCATCAACGTTATTGCCCCACCACACCCCACCCAAATCCCAAACCATGACATAACCTTAGCGTAGCATCACTTGAGATTGCAAGTAACATCAACGTTATTGCCCCACCCCACCAAAACCCCAAGCCATGACGTAACCTTAGCGTAACATTACTTGAGATTGCAAGTAACATGAACGTTATTGCCCCACCCACCCCACCCAAATCCCAAGCCATGACGTAACCCTAGCGTAGCATACTTGAGATTGCAAGTAACATCAACGTTATTGCCCCACCCCACCCCACCCAAACCCCAAGCCATGACGTAACCTTAGCGTAGCATCACTTGAGATTGCAAGTAACATGAACGTTATTGCCCCACCCGACCCCACCGAAACCCCAAACCATGATGTAACCTTAGCGTAGCATCACTTGAGATTGCAAGTAACATGAACGTTATTGCCCCACCCCACCCAAACCCCAAGCCATGACGTAACCTTAGCGTAGCATCACTTGAGATTGCAAGTAACATGAACGTTATTGCCCCACCCCACCCCACCCAAATCCCAAACCATGACGTAACCTTAGCGTAGCATTACTTGAGATTGCAAGACGTTATTGCCCCACCACACCCCACCCAAACCCCAAGCCATGACGTAACCTTAGCGTAGCATCACTTGAGATTGCAAGTAACATCAACGCTATTGCCCCACCCCACCCGACCCAAACCCCAAGCCATGACGTAGCCCTGCGTAACATCACTTGAGATTGCAAGTAACATGAACGTTATTGCCCCACCACACCCCACCCAAACTCCAAGCCATGACGTAACCTTAGCGTAACATCACTTGAGATTGCAAGTAACATGAACGTTATTACCCTACCCGACCCCACCCAAACTTTATTTTCAACAAGTGGCAGGACTACACGTGCGGTTTTCCACCTGCTAGCATAAACAACTTACACAAGGCACATGCAGGCACATGACATAGCATAACATATTGTGAAGTGACATAACCCATCATTGCATGGAATAGCATCACGTGACATAGACATCTCTAATACATTGGCACATGCATGCGGGTATATTTATGTACACACACACACATGTGATATATGCCAAAAAACATAACATACAGGCACATGTATACAAATACCATCAAATACCTGTAAACATAACCTATTGCACCAATGTGCATCTATACGTATGGGCATACCTGAACGCATGCATTGACCCACGCGATTCTTGGTAGGGTTCTTCAAGGGTAGATGGTACACATATTTATGCACATTTGTTAAGCATTGTGTAACATGGTCGCAGATATCTTGGGCGGACGGGACAATTTGGTTAATCTGCCAGCTCTTGTTTCCCTACTCAGGTGCCCTTTCCTACTCTGTGGCTTGCTTGCACTAAAAATCGGTTTGCCAGTGACCCAAACGACCCGTCACAACTACCCTCCAGTAGTTTAACAGTGTGCGAACTGGAAACCATGGCCCATTTATTTCTATGATTTGCCTATTATATAAGTATCGTGTTTTCCCATAGTCATGTTGAATTACCAGAGGGTGGGACCTTTCGCAGAGACATGGGGGACCAAGGCTTTTGAAGGAGCTTGTGCTGACCATTGCAAGTTCGTTGGCCCTGGGCTTTGGATCCATGACCCAAGCTGCCGTGGCTGCACCGAATCACTTTTGGAGGAGTACTATGCTCAGACACCAGGACCCTGTGCAAGCTGGTGCCAGTATGAGGGGCCTGCCACGTGGCCATATGATCCAAATTGCGGAGGCTGCACCCAAGAGAGAATTGCCAACAGGACTGGCCCAACCTGTGCCAGCTACTGCCAGTATGTTGGTGTGGCAGTTTGGCACTACAACCCTGACTGCCAGGCTTGCCAACCTGTGCTTTTGTCCCAAGACTCCAAGGGAAATTGCGCAAGTTACTGCCAATATGAGCCCCAGAGTGCTTGGCAGTATGATGCCAACTGCGGTGGTTGCACTCCTTCCCTCCTGCAGGAAGCAAAGGAATCTAAGGGTGAATGCAAGGACTACTGCAAGTATGAACCCCAAGCAGCGTGGCAGTATGATGCCAACTGTGGTGGGTGCACTCCAGCACTGGCTGAAAGCCGTGCTCTTACAGCTCATCAAGGATGTATGACTCATTGCAAGTTTGTTGGCCCTGAGCATTGGCAACATGACCCAAGCTGCGGTGGCTGCACAGCATCGCTCTTGGAGGAGTATTCCGCTCAGACACCAGGACCCTGTGCAAGCTGGTGCCAGTATGAGGGGCCTGCGACATGGCCATATGATCCAAATTGCGTAGGCTGCACCAAGGCAAACATTGCCAACAGGACTACCCCAAGCTGCTTCAGCTACTGCCAGTATGTTGGCGTGGCGGTTTGGCAATACAATCCTGACTGCCAAGCTTGCAAGTCATTGCAGTTGACCCAAGGCTCTAGGGGAAATTGCGCCAGCTATTGCCAATATGAACCCCAGACTGCTTGGCAGTACGATGCCAACTGCGGTGGTTGCACTCCTTCCCTGCTGCAGGAAGCAAAGGCATCTAAGGGTGAATGTAAGGACTACTGCAAGTACGAGCCCCAAGCTGCTTGGCAATATGACGCCAACTGTGGCGGGTGCACTCCAGCATTGGTTGAGACCAGTGCATTGGTGCCCCACGAGGGATGCAGGAGCCACTGCAAGTTTGTCGGCTCTGCTTTGTGGCGTCGTGATTCAGGTTGCAGGGGCTGCACAGCATCGCTCTTGGAGGAGTACTATGCTCAGACACCAGGACCCTGTGCAAGCTGGTGCCAGTATGAGGGGCCTGCGACATGGCCATATGATCCAAATTGCGTAGGCTGCACCAAGGCAAACATTGCCAACAGGACTACCCCAAGCTGCTTCAGCTACTGCCAGTATGTTGGCGTGGCGGTTTGGCAATACAATCCTGACTGCCAAGCTTGCAAGTCATTGCAGTTGACCCAAAGCTCTAGGGGAAATTGCGCCAGCTATTGCCAATATGAGCCCCAGAGTGCTTGGCAGTATGATGCCAACTGCGGTGGTTGCACTCCTGCCTTGCTGCAGGCATCCAAGTCAGAGTGCAAGGACTACTGCAAGTACGAGCCGCAAGCGGCATGGCAGTATGACGCAAACTGTGGTGGTTGCACTCCGGCACTTATGGAGTTGTCAAAGGGCGAGTGCAAGGACTACTGCAAATACGAGCCGCAAGCGGCATGGCAGTATGATGCCAACTGTGGTGGCTGCACACCATCGCTCTTGGAGGAGTACTATGCTCAGACACCAGGACCCTGTGCAAGCTGGTGCCAGTATGAGGGGCCTGCCACATGGCCTTATGATCCAAATTGCGGAGGCTGCACCAAGGCAAATATTGCCAACAGGACTACCCCAAGCTGCTTCAGCTACTGCCAGTATGTTGGTACGGGAGTTTGGCAATACAATCCTGACTGCCAAGCTTGCAAATTATCTCAATTGATCCAAGACTCCAAGGAAGCAAAGGAATCTATGGGTGAATGCAAGGACTACTGCAAGTACGAACCCCAAGCAGCGTGGCAGTATGATGCCAACTGTGGTGGTTGCACTCCTTCCTTGTTGCAGGAATCAAAGTGGAAGTTGCCGGGGCACACCTCAGATTCCCAGGTTTGCCAGCCCGTGGACGAATGCTGCAAGCTGTATTGCCGTCAGGTGCCCCAATCAGATTACCAGTATGACGTCAATTGTATGGGTTGTGGGACCTACCTATTTCAAGAGTCAAGAGGGCAATGCAAGGACTACTGCCAGTATGAGCCCCAGACCGCTTGGCAGTATGATGCCAACTGCGGTGGTTGCACTCCTTCCTTGTTGCAGGCATCCAAGGCAGAGTGCAAGGACTACTGCAAATACGAGCCGCAAGCTGCATGGCAGTATGATGCCAACTGTGGTGGATGCACACCATCGCTCTTGGAGGAGTATTACGCTCAGACACCAGGAAGCTGTGCAAGCTGGTGTCAGTATGAGGGGCCTGGCACGTGGCAATATGATCCAAATTGCGGAGGCTGCACCCGAGAGACAATTGCCAACAGGACCGGCCCAACCTGTGCCAGCTACTGCCAGAATGTTGGCGTGGCGGTTTGGCAATACAATCCTGACTGCCAAGCTTGCAAGTCATTGCAGTTGACCCAAGACTCCAAGGGAAATTGCGCCAGCTACTGCCAATATGAGCCCCAGAGTGCTTGGCAGTATGATGCCAACTGTGGTGGTTGCACTCCTTCCTTGTTGCAGGAATCAAGGTGGAAGTTGCCGGGGCACACCTCAGATTCCCAGGTTTGCCAGCCCGTGGACGAATGCTGCAAGCTCCATTGCCGTGAGCTGGGCCAAACAGATTGGCAGTATGACGTCAATTGTATGGGTTGTGGGACCTACCTATTTCAAGAGTCAAGAGGGCAATGCAAGGACTACTGCAAGTACGAGCCTTCAACCGTTTGGCAGTATGATGCCAATTGTGGTGCTTGCACAACCTCTTTGCTGCAAGGAGAGAAGGGTGAATGCAAGGACTACTGCAAGTATGAGCCCCAAGCTGCTTGGCAATATGACGCCAACTGTGGTGGCTGTACTCCGGCTCTGGCACAGACTGCGGCAAGCAAGGCGCGGGGTGGGACCGCGAGTGTGATAACAAGTGTTGAATGGGCTCAACATGCTCGCCTTTTACTTGGTTGACCCTGCTGTCATTAATTCTGTACTTGATCAATTCTGTACTTGAATGTGTGGCCTGACTCACTGAAAAGCCCGGGAAAGGGAGCTACGATAATCTAGGGAGTCACGATCTTGTACACGACATCTCAGTGGATATCCGTGTTGGCCCTTTTCACCCCTTTGTCAAGTACGCTCACCTTTGCCTCGTGTATCGCCATGTCACCAGCACCAGCATCCCCTGAGGTCTGCCAGGAGTCTTGTGCTCAAAAAGGGGCAGAGCTTTGGCAGTATGATCCCGATTGCCAGGGCTGTGATGCCAGCGCGTTGCAGGTGACAGCCGAATGCAAGGAATATTGTCCCTTGACAGCAGAAAGGTGGTGAACGCGAGGTCAGATACAGTGCTGGTGCGTATCTACCGCAGTAATTCCACAGTACAGTATAGAATCGTTCGTCACCCCCCCCGTCCCCAGTTGGATTTTGTCTTTGCGGATGGCTTCCCAAACGGAGAGAGTTGGTCGCCAAACATTGAGAACAGTGAACTCCCCTGATTCAAACACATGGGGCCAAGCTCTGTAGCAGCTCCCCGAGGCAAGTACGAGCCTAGCAACGTGTGGAGTTACGATGCCAATTGCCAGGGCTGCACGCCGGCCTTGGTTGAAACAACGGAGCATTGTGAGGACCACTGCAAACAGCTGGGGCCCATGCTGTGGCACAAGGCCTCTAGTTGCCATGTGGGCGTGTTTGAACATGGGGGATAGCACAAAATAGCAAGTTGAGTAGAGAAAACGCATGGACACGCTGACTAGCCAACGGATTTAAGGGTACCATCCATTTTTCAGCCAAATCGTTGTGGGGATGCGGATGCCGTTTTTTTCAGAACAGGGGACTGTGGGAGTATGTGGGAGTGCAACTTTTCTGCATATGACCTAGTGTATTTTTTTCCTTGTCACAAACCATATGTATATAGTATATATATATATATATTCTTGATTGGCAAAACCATTAAACATAATCACGAAAGCTAGCGTCAGCTAGCTGGAGTCTTCTTGCTTTAGCAAGTATTGGGGGGGCTGCTCAAGGACATCACGTGATTTTTCACGCGAAAGGGCCCCCCCCCTCCCCCACCACCACCACCACCATCACCACCATCATCATCATCATCATCATCGTCATCATCATCGTCATCATCATCGTCATCATCATCGTCATCATCATCGTCATCGTCCTCTCCATCGTCCTCGTCCGCGTCCTCGTCATCATCATCATCATCATCATCATCATCATTCATCATTCATCATTCATCATTCATCATTCATCATTCATCACTCATCACTCATCATTCATCATTCATCATTCATCATTCATCATTCATCATTCATCATTCATCATTCATCATCCATCATCCATCATCATCATCATCGTTATCATCGTTATTCAATTACATTTTATCATTATTGGCAATTATTGTCATTATCACGAAAGCTAGCGTCAGCTCGCTAGAGTCTTCTTGCTTTAGCACGTATTCCGGGGCTCCCCAAGGACATCACGTGATTTTTCCCGCGAAAGGGCCCCCCCCTGCCCCCTCCCCCATATATATCATTGTTATATATCATATATCAATATATCATTGTTGCATCCTCGTTGGGACGAACAATGCCGCGACACGATGATGACAGTCCCTCCGCAACTCACCTCTTCCCTTCCTTCTTTCTCCTACCCCGCTAGCTTTCGTCATCCACCCCCGGCCTCAAGTCATTTTCTTCAATGCTGTCTGCACATTGCTCTTCTGCTTTGGCATCCAACTCACTATACAAAACCAAAAAACAAGCTGCAGCCCACGAACCCGAATGCTCACACGTATGTTAATGGGACAGATGTCGAAACACATGGAAATGCAATGACGCAGAACACTTTTCTGAAACAGTTTGTTTGAACAGTCGTGTACATTTTTGCCCTGTTACCATACCAGTGCACCGTAGACTGTGGAATATGGAAGAAGGTGGCATGCTAAGTGTGTAGAGTCTGGAGTGTAAAGCATGGAGTGTAAAGTGTGGAGTGTCAAGTGTAAAGTGTAGAGTGTGGAGTGTAGAGTGTGGAGTGTGGAGTGTGGAGTGTAAAGTGTAGAGTGTGGAGTGGAGTGTAGACTTTGGAGTGTAAAGTGTAAAGTGTAGAGTGTAAAGCGTAGAGTGTGAAGTGTGGAATGTAAAGTGTGGAGTATAAAGTGTGGAGTGTAAAGTGTGGAGTGTGGAGTGGAATCTAAAGTGTAAAGTGTAGAGTGTGGAGTGTGCAGTGGGTAAAGTGTAGAGTGTGGAGTGTGGAGTGTATGGTGTAGAGTGTAAAGTGTGGAGTGTAGACTGTGGAGTGTAAAGTGTAAAGTGTGGAGTGTAGAGTGTAAAGTGTAGAGTGTAAAGTGTAGAGTGTAAAGTGTGGAGTGAGGAGTGTACAGTGTAAAATGTAAAGTGTGGAGTGTAGAGTGTAGAGTGTGGAGTGTAAAGTGTAGAGTGTAAAGTGTAGAGTGTAAAGTCTAGACTGTGGATTTTAAAGTGTAGAGTGTGGAGTGTGGAATGAAAAGTGTAGAGTGTGGAGTGTGGAGCGCGGAGTGTAAAATAAGGAGTGTGGAATGTAAAGTGTGGAGTGTAAAGTGTAGAGTGTGGAGTGTGGAGTGTAAAGTGTGGAGTCTGGAGTGTGGAGTGGAAAGTGTAGGGTGTGGAGTGAAGAGTAAGGAGTGTGGAGTGTAAAGCGTGGAGTGTGGAGTGTGTAAAGTGTAGAGTGTAGAGTGAAGAGTGTAGAGTGTGGTGGGGTATGGAGTGTGGAGTGTAGAGTGCAGAGTGCGGAGTGTGGGGTGTAAAGTAAGGAGTGTGGAGTGTAGAGTGTAGAGTGTGCAGTGGGTAAAGTGTAGGTGGAGTGTGGAGTGTAGGGTGTGGAGTGTTGAGTGTAGAGTGTGGAGTGTGGACTGAGGAGTGTAAAGTGTGGAGTGAGGAGTGTACAGTGTAAAGTGTAAAGTGTAAAGTGTGGAGTGCAGAGTGTAGAATGTAAATTGTGGAGTGTAAAGTGTAAAGTGTAGAGTGTAAAGTGCAGAGTGTGGAGTGTAGAGAGCGGAGTGTGGAGTGTAGACTGTGGAGTGTAAAGTGCAGAGTGTAGAGTGTGGAGTGTAAAGTGTAGAGTGTGGAGTGTAGAGTGTAAAGTGTAGAGTGTAAAGTGTAGAGTGTGGAGTGTGGAGTGTGGAGTGTAGACTTTGGAGTGTAAAGTGTAAAGTGTAGAGTGTAAAGCGTAGAGTGTGAAGTGTGGAATGTAAAGTGTGGAGTATAAAGTGTGGAGTGTAAAGTGTGGAGTGTGGAGTGTAAAGTGTGGAATCTAAAGTGTAAAGTGTAGAGTGTGGAGTGTGGAGTGTAAAGTGTAGAGTGTAGAGTGTGGAGTGTGGGGTGTAGAGTAAGGAGTGTGGAGTGTAAAGTGTGGAGTGTGCAGTGGGTAAAGTGTAGAGTGTGGAGTGTGGAGTGTAGGGTGTGGCGCGTGCAGTGTAGAGTGTGGAGTGTGGAGTGAGGAGTGTAAAGTGTGGAGTGAGGAGTGTACAGTGTAAAGTGTAAAGTGTAAAGTGTAAAGTGTAAAGTGTAAAGTGTAAAGTGTGGAGTGCAGAGTGTAGAGTGTAAAATGTGGAGTGTAAAGTGTAAAGTGGGGAGTGTCGCGTGTAGAGTGTGGAGTGTGAAGTGTAGAGTGTAAAGTGTGGAGTGTAAAGTGTAGAGTGTGGAGTGTGGAGTGTAGACTGTGGAGTGTAAAGTGTAAGGTGTAAAGTGTAGAGTGTAAAGCGTAGAGTGTAAAGTGTGGAATGTAAAGTGTGGGGTGTAAAGTGTGGAGTGTAAAGTGTAGAGTGTGGAGTGTGGAGTGTGGAGTGTAAAGTGTGGAGTGTAAAGTGTAAAGGGTAAAGTGTGGAGTGTGGAGTGTAGAGTGTGGAGTGTGGAGTGTAAAGTGTGGGGTGGAGTTTAGACTGTAAAGTGTGGAAAGTAAAGTGTAAAGTGGGGAGTGTCGTGTGTAGAGTGTGGAGTGTAGAGTGTGGCGTGTAAAGTGTAAAGTGTTGAGTGGTTAGGGAGTGTAAAGTGTGGAGTGTAAGAGTGTAGAGTAGAGTGTAAAGTGTGGAGTGTAAAGTGTAGAGTGTAAAGTGTGGAGTGTAAAGTGTGGAGTGCGGAGTGTGAAGTGTAAAGTGTGGAGTGTAAAGTGTAAAGTGGGGAGTGTGGAGTGTACAGTGTGGAGTGTAAAGTGTGGAGTGTACAGTGTGGAGTTTAAAGTGTGGAGTGCAAACTGTAGAGTGTGGAGTGTGGAGTGTAAAGTGTAGAGTGTAAAGTATAGAGTGTGGAGTGTAAAGTGTCGAGCGTGGAGTGTGGAGTGTAAAGTGTAGGGTGTAAAGTGTAAAGTGCAAAGTGTAAGAAGTGTGGAGTGTGGAGTGTAAAGTGTGGAGTGTAGAGTGTGGAGCGCGGAGTGCAAAGTGTAGAGTGTAAAGTGTGGAGTGTAAATTGAAGAGTGCGGAGTGTAGAGTGTAAAGTGTGGAATGTAAAGTGTGGAGTGTGAAGTGTAAAGGGTGGAGTGTGGAGTGTAGAGTGTGGAGTGTGGAGTGCTGAGCCTGCCACGCAAAATGACGGCAGAGGTCTCCAAAATGCTGCGCTTGCCACGCAAAACTGCAACTCACTTTGTGAAAACGACACAAAAGTATCGCGCCTGCCACACACAACGACTTTCGACACGTCATCAAACAGGTTGGAATGTCACAAAGTGCCGCGCCCGCCACGCAAAACGACATGACAACTTGCTTGGAAACCTTCGAAAAGGAGAGGTTTTGCAGCTTCCCCCATAGACACGGCGAGGCCACAGGAAAACTAGAGACTCGAGACGAGACACGTGGGAGCATCAAAACGAGCATTTCGTGCGAGACTTCCTCCAATTTTCATACTTTGTAGCTTTAAAATCGACGTTTTCCTATGAGTTTTCCTTAGAACCTGAAAATTTGCTACCTCAAAATCGATGTTTCATGCGAGGCTTCCGTCAATTTTCATCACATCTCACAAAATGCCACGCTTGCCACGGAATTTGCACCTTGTCACCACTTGATGCAGCCCTGCCAATGCGATTTGCAAAAAACACGCAACACGACACGTCTAAAACGCTGTGCCTGCCACGCAAAATGACGATGGACACGTCCAAAGTGTTGCGGCTGCCATGAAAACTGCAACGCATCTTGCGAAAACGTCGCAAAAGTATTGCGCTTGCCACACAAAACGACTTTCGACACGTTCCAAAACACGTCTGAATGTCACGAAGTGCCATGCCTGCCACGCGAACGAAGCAACGCGACGTTTGAAACCTCCAAAAATCACACCTTCTGCAGAACTTACCATCTATCAATCTATCAATCTATCAATCTATCAATCTATCTATCTATCTATCTCTTACTGATTCCGGTGCGCATCTAGAAAATAAGCTTAGGATGCCCCCCAGGTGGCCTGGAACATATGCGTAATTTGACCATCAATTTGGGCTACCAAAATTTGATTTTGTACATATGTTGTTTCTGACCCATGGGAGGTCACACCAAGGTGTGTGCAAGCAGTGTCTCTTTGTCGCTGCTTCGCAGCTGCGCATATTTCAAATTTGTTTTGAACATGTGGGGTAAATTGGTTCACGGGACGGTGTTTTTGCAAGAGGATTTGTGAGGATAATCAAGCCTCCA